AAAGAATTCCACTATCTGCCAAACACAAGTCTTCTCAAAAAGAAGGGAAAATTTGTTTTCTGCTCCTGCTCCCCCTTCTGCTTCACTGTTGGGAAAATTGTTATTTTTTTCCTTGACTCCATCGTATTTGATTTGCACATGAAAGACTAAGAAAAAAACATCTTGGAAGATATAAAAGCCTTACCACTGGCTATTAGAGTTGCCTGTTCAGGTAAGAAAATGAAAAACATGTTATCTGAACCAAATATTTTAATGTTCTCAGTCTTCTACAAGTAACACTATATTAAAAAAAAAAAACAAAACAAACAAACAAACCCATAGAATGGTCTGTTCCAGTCTCTCACCACCCTCACAGTACAGAATGTATTCCTGATATTTGTTCTAACCTTGTCCTCTTTCAGTTTAAAGTCATTCCCTCATGTCCTGCCACTACCTATCCTTGTAAAGGGGCCTACAAGAGAGTTGGAAAGGGACCTCTTAGGTACTGGAAGGCTGGCCCAAGGTCTGTTGAATTACCATAAGACTATTTAAAGTTCATTACAGAACATCCCTGCACATTCCCAACAAAAACTTCACATGGCTTTGGAAATTCTATTTTGATGCTTGGCATGGCAGTAATACAGAACAATGAACTGTAACACCCCTTTGGGCATTACTGGAGTCTAAACAGGCAATAAGCTGCAAGCTTAAAAGGTCTGAGAAGGATTTATTGTGGACTAGTGGATCCAAAGAAACTGCTTTTCAGGAAGCCAAAACTCCACAACACACACTTACAGTGCCAGGCACAGTCATATTAAAAACTGAATTGGTAATATCCCCTTGGCTGAATGCAGCAAGTGGAGAAACTGCTGGCACTGCTTCTCCAGACCACGGCAGATGAGATGTCAGTGCCAAGAACAAAAGTTTAAATCTAACTCACATATTCCCATCACACAAATAAAGCACCTGCTTCACCAGGTCTTACCATCACAGCTCTAGGAGGCTAACAGAAAGAAGAAATGAATCCACGTTTCCTCCTAGTTACATCAGCGTTACTGGGACACCGAAACAAGAACAATCAGAATTTGAACCACATATAAGCTAAGGCAGCAGTGTCTTACCATTTGTGTTGTGGTAGGGTCTACCTTTCCCAACAAAGAATGGGGTTTCTCTCACCCAATTCCCCATTCATTTGCCCACAAAAATCTGGAGGAGATAAAACCCCCGAAAACATAACCTCCAGTGAACACAGGGTTATAAGCTCAGAGAAGGAAGAGGGCAGCACACGCAGCTCAGATTCAAGCACAAGTCTGAATTTTTTTCCTTTCATGGAACTAAGAATCTAGGGATCATTTTGGGGAAGTTTTTACTTGCTTGTAAATGTAACTATGCATAGATGAAAGAGTTAGTCATCTTCTCCATGTCAAAAATAAACGCAGCAATTTCCAGAATGTGTCACAACACAATATTAACTATGTATCTGCACTGTCACTGAATCACTGGACACTTAATAGCCTAAACTTATTTTCTGGAAATAGTCTAATGTACTGTGCTAGAATACCCTCAACTACTAACATAACTTTTTAAAGAGTCAATTTGCAGTAAAAACACCTGTAAACTTGGTCCCAGTGATGAGTAAAACAACCAGTGTGCCATCCCTGCACAGCCAGGCTGCCAGACCCAGAGCAGAGGCTGCATTTTTCAAATTCACGGACTCCTCACACAGCAAGAGCTTGAAAAGAAAAGGTGCATCCAAGAAACAATTTGCTCACACACAAAATGCATATTTTACAGGTACATGCAAACCATGCTGCTGGGACAGACATACAAAGCAACTTCTCAGCCTTTCCATAGCACATTGGCTCTGGATCCAACATGTGAGCAAGGTGAGACAACAGAAGGACCTTTGGGAGGCAGATCTGAAAATCAGCCACCTGAAATTGTCTTTGTTTTAAGAGAATCAAAACACACCCTGCCCTTAAGAAGCAAGGCCTCTTCCACAAGAAAAGAGCTTTTCTGCTGATGCCAGGGGAATCAAACTGAGGCAAAGGACTCCTGAGGAACAGATATGTGTTACCAAGGACTCACAACAAATGTTACAGCCACGTGGAAGCATCCCAGTGGGAAATATACAGCATTTGCAAGTTTTCCCTTGAGTTTTCAAGGTACTAATTATAAAATACCAGAGCAGCGAGACAGCTGGAGCAGATACAAGGTATGTGCTAGAAGAGGTGAAAGACTAAAGCATGGTGAAACCGGATAGCAATCACCTCTCTTGCTTTATGATTTTTTACACTTAAAGAACATCTCCAACCAAAGGCTTTCTCATCTCCTCAAGGCATGGGACATGGACACTAGACAAGAAAACTCCACTTCAGCATATCTTCTTAAAGAAAAAGTGTTTTCAGATCATTATTACTTCTGTATTCTAGACAAAACTGAAGGAAACCTGAACTCCTTACAAACAGCAGAGCAACCACCACCCTGATATCAGGGATAGTGCTATACAACCTTGGAGCAACATTAAGGCAATTAAGAACAAAACACACAATAAAATTCAGAGTTTGAAACAGAGACAACTTCCCATTTCTGTGTAATTTTCTTTATCCTAGTTCGTTAAGAATTCACCTAATTTTACAGCCGCAACAGGAAAAGTCACATTACTTTGCTGCAGACCACATGGCAAGAGGCACTTGAATGCAGCATGCTTCAGTTTCCTATCAGAACTTCCTTTCTCCACCATACACCACAAGGCACATCTCCAATATTTTTTGCCAGTACTATTAAGAGCAACAAAAGTCAAGTAGCATTTTAAAAGTTTTATTTGGGAAGTATCAACTTGGCAGGTCTGTTTAACATGGGGGATGATATATACATATCTCACAAAAACAACGCTGAAAAGGAGAACTGAATCAAATGTATGAGTCAAATGTGCTAGTACCTGGCTAATCAACCCCACCACAAAGCAGCCTCCCAGCCCTGCAGTATGGAGAAACCAAGACATAAGAAAAGGACTAAACTTCTCAACCCAAGGTTTTAAGTGAAAAAGACCACTATGCCTGTGCTGTAAAGAAGTGTGTTAACTCACATCAGCTGATTTATGGAATCTTGATGTCTTCCGGTGTATGTCATTGGTGACCCCATCATCCCAGCCCTGTGCTACTGCCACGGCAGGCCCTGCTATCTGCTCGATGGGGAAGGCAGCAGTGATAACGAGGAGGTGGGGCAGGATTCAAGTCAGGGGAGTAAAGTGGCTAATTACTGCTTTGGGCAGCAAGTAAAATGGTTACAAAGATAAAATTCATATTTTAAAGACAGCTTGTATTTTCAAGCAGAGAACTGTAAAATCGTATGTTTTATCAGTTCCTAAAGAAATGAAACGTGACAAAAACCGAGACTGAGCATAAGATTCAGTTAGAGTACGACTAAGATCAAGGACGTGTTGAGCACTGAGTTTTAATTCTTAACACCTTTACTGACCTCAAAATAGAGAAAAACTGTGTAATACCTCTAGAGTCAGGAGCAAAAATTTGCTGATGCTTCAGTACAGTACTTTAGAAGTGCATTTCTCAGATGCATCCTCCATAAAGGAGAAACCCCATCGTATTTAGAGAAACACACAGACACCTAAAACTAAGCATAAGTGTACATACACTCATTTAGAGTGCTTATGTCAATGATAACAGACATGAATTCCAGTTTGGTTGTTGGATAATCTGTTTTCCACCCATGTAAGATAATTAGCACACAACACAGAGTGGTGAAATGAGGGAAGCAAGATGCCCTCTTTTCTCCCAGATCAAGGCACTTCATGAACATCAATTAGATGTTAATGTCCCTGGGAGGCAAGCGTGACAAGTCTTATTAAGCCATTTCAAAGATTAGGATACTGAGTCACAGAGAGATTAAGAACTTCCTCAAAACCAACAGCAGAGTCAGAGAGGGGGCAGCTACACCCCAGCTGGCACTGGCAGCAGGGGACTGTGCTGCTCCACCTTACTGCAAGACTTAAGAGTCTCTAAGGGGGGGGGAATAAATCCACACTGCCATGAAGTTTCCTGACCATGCCAACATGCCTCCATTTCGACCTGCAAGGGACCATCTTCAGATACAAGAATGCAGTTCGGTTTCCATGCTCAGATCTCATTTTGGCTGAAGGTACCAGCAAGGTTGCCAATTGTAAATAGTTTTTTTAAAGTCGACAGAGACCTCCAGATCTTTTACGATAAGCTTGAGAGAGAACTTAAAACTTTTTGATACTAGTTCAACCCTATAACCCTTGGGGCAAATAAATCTACGTTCATCAGTCTATGAGCCAACTCACGGCCAACTATCTGGATTCAAGTCACATGCTGCATTTGCACATTAAAAACGGAGTGAACATGACAAGACAATCACTATCACAGGTTAACAAACACTTCAAAGCACAAAGAGAAAACCCAGCACATGCCATATTCAATTAGCCCAAAAGGTGAGCACGGAAGGATGTTATGCTGATTAACACACTCATTAAGACGCGTCCGAACTAATAGCCCACTTCAGTGTTGTAACACGTTTGGAAAGCACTTAGGTCTGTCTTAATCGCCGGAGCGAAAGATTATTTTGAGTTTTCCTGCGTGGCCGTCCGAGCCAGCGCGGCGTCACCCGGCGGTGCCCCGGACGCGCGGGGGGCAGGTACAGCCCGCGGCCGGCAGCGCCCAGACCCGCGCGTACAGCCCGGCACAGCCCGGCACGGCGCAGCCCGGCACGGCTCAGCAGAGCTCAGTGCAGCCCAACAGAGCTCGGCAGGGCTCAGCAGAGCTCAGTGCAGCCCAGCAGAGCCGGCACAGCCCGCTGGGCACCGGCCGCCCAGCCCTCCGCGCCCGGCCAAGCGCCGGCGCGGCCCCGAGCGCCGCCGCCCGCGGAGCCGAGCCCGGCGCTGCCGCCCGGGAGGGACCGCCCGGCCGCGGGGGTCCCGCTCCCAGCCCCGCTCCCGCCGCACCTGCTCCGCTCGCGGCAGCGCCCCCGCCCCTCAGACCTACCGGCGGCTCCACTCCACATGCTGCTGCTGCTGCTGCCGCCGGGGCTCGGTTCAGCTCAGCCCGGCGCGGCTGGGGCGGGGCCGCGGGCCGGGGCGGGCCGGGGCGGGCCGGCCGCCTGCCCCGTGTTAGCGCCTGCCCCAGCGCCCTGCGAGTCGCAAGGTGCGTGTGCCCCGCCGCTCCCGATCGGCGCCGGTTTGGGGTTTTTCCGAGCCCCGCAGCCCCGGCCGGAGGGTCCGGCCCCGAGCGGGGCGGAGGAGCTGCCACCTGCCACGGGGGAAAGCGGTGCTGGGACAGCGCATCCGGCGGAGCGGAACGGGGAACTCGCGGCGGTTTCTCTCGCCTGTTTGGGTTCTGTTTCTGAGGAAGCTTGAAGGCTGTCACGTATCCGGAAGGTTCAAGAAGATTTAGGTCGGCGTGCAAACAGGAGACGACTGGAAAGAAAGTTCAAGATCGGCAGCTGATGTGACTGACAGCACTGACACTAGGACTGCCTGGCTTCAATCAACAGTAACAACATCTTGCTAAGGGCAGAAATGAAGTTTTATGGAAAAGGAACAAAGAAAAACTATTAAGAATCACTTGAACTGCTGCAACAGGGAGGGTGAACAAGCTAAAGCTCGTATTTACTCACCTAAAGGTTTGATAAAAGCCCCAGCAGGCCTACTTTATAGGTAACCTAAACCAGTCATAAATACTTTGACATGTCCCGTTTAAGTGACGCTAAAGAAGACTGTGGCAGAACAAGGGAGCCAGACCGCGTTCTGCCATGACATGAGCTATCTGACCCTTTTCACACTTCCCTCCTATGACCCAAATTTGAAGTGGCTTTGGATAACACGGAGAGAAAACAAGTGTGAATGTGGCCCTTTTTATCCGTGCACAGCTGAATGTAACATAATCTCTAATGACCCAAGTGTTTCACCAAGTCTCTAAAATAATTTGTTGATCTTAAGGCAGAAATTTTGTTGTAGAAAATACCTTTCATTGAGGTTGAGATTTGTCTTCTTGCTTTTTGCATCGGGCTTGGCTGAACCCAAGTTTTACTCAATCATTAACTTAGAATTGCAGTATGTTTGTCTGCTTATTTCACTTCAGGAGATTAAGTGTACTTTTTCCTCAAAGTGATAAAAGCAAGAATATATAAAAAAAGAAAAAAAAAATAGAAATAATGGGTATACCAATTCCCTGTTATCTAAAAGACTATCTTCTTTAGCAGCCTTGGGGAAGGCAAGAACATGGAATGAGAAAATGCTCTTGGCAAACTTCCACAAAAAGTGGTCTGTAGTTAGCAAAGGGAGATGTGTGTATCATATAATATCTATACGATTTGTACAAAGTCTTCCTAGTTTCAGTCCACTATTGAGAGCCAGAGAACCCAGAAAATACAATGTCAGAAAGAATTTAACCCCTACTAGGAAATATTCCAAAACTTCCCTCTTTAGAATACATGTTCCTTATTTGTTAGGAAAGATCCTTACAGCACTGGCCTCCCATGTGTCTCTTCACCTTCACAGCTGTCCTCTTCCCTCCACACCTCTCAGAAAAAGTTAGTGAGTCCATAAAAAGATTACCCTCTCCTGCCAAGTCCTTCAAAAAATTTTATGCATCCCTAGAGAAACACATATGGGGCTGCATGAAGACCATCAGGGACCTTGCTATTTAGTAACTATAATTAGTGTATTTACTCATCATCCTTAACTATTTGATCTTTGAAAATGGCCAAAAGAATGTATAATTCACACTCACTAATCTTAAATATTATCATAACCATTTAAAAATTACGTTTCATTAGATGTTACTTAACCAGAATTAAGGAATTCTTTATTCACAGTCACACCTACCTCTCTCCAAAGGAGAACATAACTAAGATACAGTCTAATCTTATCACTCTGGGCTATGATGAGTACACTCAATAAAGATTAGATTAACAAACACTAATCAGGAACCATCAATCTGGCGTTATGTGGGGCTCTGTTGGCTACTTTAGCCCACCCTCCCTTCTGTGAAGAGTGGGACATGCAACCACAAAGGGAAATAGCAACTTCCCTGGGTGCTGCACAGCCTCCCCTTCCAGTGAGACCAAATTCCTAACTCATTTTTCTACCTTGGCAGCTGCTTTGTAAGTTTTTGTTATTGTTGTTGTTCAAACATAGCCTGTTCTCCTCCACTGAAAGGATAGGAAAAAGGAATAAGAATGAATAGTCCTTAAAAAAACAATCCAGCCTTATCAACTGGGATAAAGCCATGCCTGCTAACTCTGCTGTGGGCTGTTCATCCCTCTCACTGTGGCTGATTATGTGCAACACTCCCTTTCCTGATACGTGCAAGCCTATGTATTCAAGTTCTTGTAAATGTGGTCCTATCCACGTATCCCACACAATAAAAGCCCTTCTTGTGGTGTTCTTCAAAGTTAACTGAATTTTTCATACAGAGGAGATGGTCTGGCTTTTACGTTGTGGCCTGGCTCTCAGCAGACCACGCTGAGCTCCCTCCTCCACCACTCACCTCCTTTATGACTTTTAGAATCCACGTATACGTCATGTAGCAGTTCATAATCTACAGGGTGCAGGAAATAAGACCTACTTAGCTCATGGGGGTTATGGGGGTTAAACTTTGACATTCTGCTACATCATGTGAAAGGCCATTACAGGTAGCTTGATATTTTCCTGCATTCAGTTTGAAGTTAGTCATCATACTCATCTCTGGTGAGAATCAGTAGCTAAATACGTTTTTCTTCCTTCAGTAATGCTTTTTGTTTTACATGAACATATAAAGCCATTAGAGTGGTTTTTTTACAGGAATTTTGCTCTATAGAGTGAAGAAAAGAAAATAGACCTAAGGAAAGGAAGCTGAACTCTTTACGTGGGAGCATATAATTTTCCAGGAGCCCGGAATAGTAGGATTTTCTTACCACGTGTGCAGGAAATAGCCCTTCCTACCCATGTATCACATGTATTTAAATGCTATCCTTAGCATTTAAAGGAACTATTCTAGTGTGAGAGACCTTCTAAACAACATTTCTGTTCAAGTTTCCAAACACAATAACAGATTTACACATTTATCTTGAGGAACAGTTCAAAATACTTTGGTTCACTAAAATACCCAACAACCCAGAATTACCTACAAAGTACACATAGCTAATTTTCTAGCCCTCTTCCCACAGAAGACTACAAATTAATTTGTTAGGGAAGTTTGGGGACAGGCTTCTCATCACTCTATCTTCCTTATATCAGTAGTTTCTGCAGCAGAAACAGGAGTGAGACTCTTCCACAATGGCACAAAACTGCCAAGATTTGTATTTGCCCTGTGCTGCCTCTACCCTTTAAGAGGGCAAGCTCTAACAAACCATCCCACAGCACACCTGGCCAGTAATGTTACCAAGTTGGTAACATTAGTCTTTCTTTCCTCCATGCAAATCTTCTGTTGTTTGGGTTTGGGGCACGTGTATAGGTGGTTTTATTTTTTCTGTGTATATTTTCTCTGATATTTTGACAAAAAGAAGATAGAGCTTGTCTAATGCAGGTTACTGACACAAATCTAGGAAATTTCACCTTTTGGATCATGTCTGCTGGTTGACTCTCCCTGAAGCTAAAAAGGATTTTACTGACATAAAATTTCTAATAATACACCAAATCTGAGCACAGGACTCTTGCTCCCAGTGTCATTCAGTTCATTCATATCCCAAACCACTTTGCAAAATGCAATTTTAAAGATTTATAGAGAGTACCAAGCTAGTCACCACCAGCCTCTTCAAAATCTTTAGCTCAGGAATCATAAAAAATTCCTTCTTTGAAGGCAGAAGAAGTGACCCTCACACTTTCTAGGAAAACTCTCATTTTAGTAAGGTAAAAAAAAAAATAGTCCTGTATTTATTCCTATAAAAGAGTCCTGTCTCCCTGTGATTTTACTTCATTAATGGATAATGCCAGCTTTGGTGATGTTGGAATTACAAATCATGGAAACATTTTTGAGTTCTGGAAAGCAACAACCAGAACCTTAAAAACTTTGAGACTTCTCTTAGGCCACATCTCATTTGTAAGGTGTGTTTGAATTTTGAGAAAATTTGACAGAGAATCAAATAAGGTAGGCATTTGGAAGGGTAGAAAAAGTCATCATAATAAAGAATTGCATTTTATTCCTTTCCTGTCCTTATAGTCAGTATTTTAGTCAGCTTTTAAAAGATTTAGTCTTCCATAGGGATATATTTTTATTATTTCATTAAGGAATGTCACTAAAAGTCTTAATTTTATTAATGTTGAGTCATCAGAGTTTATTCCACAGATATTTTATCTTTTCATTTCTGACACTTGGGGGTTTGTGCTCAAAAGAATAAAAAAAAAAGCTTTTGATTTTGCTTTCATTTACACAAGTCACTACTCTGAGAAATACATGAGAGATATCAAAGGTATCAAAGCCATAGAGCTACTTCTCCTGTTGAAATAAATGTCAACATCTCACTGACTTCAGAGAGAAAAGGATCAAATAATTAAACGTTGTTTTGCATGGATTCCAATAGGCTTTGGATCAGGCCTCATTTCCCTAGCTAGTGCTTGCAGCTTTGCTGCTTTGGATTCTGCTGACGAATGACTCTCTGTAAAACTAACCCACCAAGCTCAGCAAAGCTGATAAGATTTCCTTCCTGCACGGCTGCACTAACACCTTCCCTGAAAATGTGCTCTGAATTTGGTCATACTTGATTTCAGATTAAGACTTTGCAGAGAAAATGGAAACTTCAATGTCCACTACAGTAATAAAAAAATTTAACACATAGGCAAATGATTACAACTGGTAAATAGATTCTGCTTTTTAGGGTGCTAAAACATCTGCATGAGCTGGTAACTGCTTGAAGGATGTCACATTGCAAAGCAGGCAGAGAGAATACTCCAGATTGTATCAGAAGAAAAATACCCTGATCTGTGATTGGGGAAGTTTTGTGAGAAAAAAAACAAACAACCAAAACCAAACACACAAACAATAAAATCAACTCAGAAGACTTGTGTATTTAGCACAGACCTGCATGAAAACAGTTCCTAAAATGTGACTGTCCGT